GTGTGTGGTAGTATGGCTGGATTGTGGTGTTTAATATGCTTGGAAATGTCGAATTTATGCCTATGAACGTGGCTGTGTTTGTGGGCCCATGAGTGGCCTTGTGTGTTTATTGAACCGTGATTTGATGGATTGAAATGTGCTTTGTTATGTGCACGCTTGGGCCAGACTGAATTAATTGTTAAATTGGCCATGTCAAATGCTTAGTGAGCATGAATTGTGTGTGAATTGATGCGTGCACGGGCCACGTGTGATTGACCAATTGAATGTGGCAAATGATTGTTGAGCATATGCATGAATAAGAGAGTGAATGTGGTGTGGCATGTGCGATTGTGGGAATTGTGCCGTCCTGAGGCGTGTACTTCAACGCGGGACGATGCCCGGTATTACCGGAAGACTGCCATCTTGAGGCGTGTACTTCAACGCGGGTTGCGCAGTAGGTGGTAGATGTTGAGCCTGAGGCGTGTACGGTAACGCGGGCAAGAGACATAGCCTGAGGCGTGTACTGTAACCCGGGCCCTGAAGTGTTGTGATAAGTTGGTCGCAGTAGACCTGAGGCGTGTACTGTAACGCGGGTCACTGGCGAGAGTTGTGGAAAAAGATGTGATGAAACGGAAACAAATGCATGAAATGTCATTAGAACATGCATGTGAGTGGAATAGTGCTATTGTAAGACTAACGTGCAGGTTGCGTGTATTGAGAATCCGGTAAGTACGATTGTGTGGACGTTGTTTGTGTATTGCTTGATTCGGTGTCTGGACTTGTCTGGAATACGTGGTAGCCTAGGTAAGGTTTAGGTTGTGAACTTATTGAGAAGTGTCTCATGGTTGTTTCAACCAAACCATTTCAGAGCACCCGCCCGAACCATGAACCTTCTGCAGCCGTCGCAGCGTTTTGGGACTGTTATGCACTCTGATCATGATGTGGTAGAATTCTCGATCGAGATGGAGCCCGATTCGGAGTCGACGGATGAGCACGTGCCTGATGAGGATTCGGATGAGGATTCCGAAAAGAGTGAGTCAGAGTGGACGCCATCTAGAGGGCGTAGGGATTAGTTTTGGAGCTGAGGAAGAGTTTGGAAGTGTCCCATTTTGGTGTAGCATTACCCAGGCTACTAATCTTTTGTGATAATGATGGTTTGCAGTTTAGTAGTCCAATGTGCATATTTTGCTTTGTGGTTTGTAAATTGGCAGTTGTAGCATACATTTATGTTGTAAATGGATATTGTGCTTAATTCGAGGTATAGTATAAGATTTGGTGGTTTGGCAATTTATTCTCCCTAGTACCCCAGGTAAATTATTGTTTGGGTGTTTGATGTTTCCGCCGCGATTAAGCTCTGATGGGTTCATTTGGGTCGGCGATGTTTCCTGGGATGTCGCACTAATTCGACCGAAAAGAGGGATGTCGCGTGCTCGATGGGGTTCGGGACGTAACAATAAATCTTTGACTCTGCACACATGTAAGCTACATATGATTCTTTCCAGCTGCTATAACACCCACCTGAACACAAAATTTACGAGACAACATGGAGAGAAATGAGCAACCATATGAATATCAAAGCCTTGAAGAGAGAGATGGCGATAATCTTGATGGCGGGGCTAATATGTAGTGCATTCCTCGTCGAGTCATCTATGGAATGTAAGAAAATGTGTGCTCGTACTTGCTCCATTACCCTTTTGCCGTGGATTTGTTATGACCTTTGCGTGCGAGGTTGTCATGATGGCAAATCATCTGTCCTAACCGTGCTTGAGCAATGCAATCTTGGTTGTGTGTGTCTGTGTGCTTCTATCGCTATCTAGGTATAATTTCTACCCTATCATTACATCTAAATCTTCGCTCGAAGTTAACACAAGTAACACTTAATTTCCAATTTGTGATGCTCAGAATTTAATTCAACCGAGGTGTTGTCCACTTTGGGTTGTCTAATACCGAGCCTCACCATTTTTCATTTCGGCTCACAGGAAGGCACTTTTCCAACCCTTCTTGGTGATGCTCCCACCTGAGCACACTTGACTTTGGAGTTTCAAAGCCGAGTAGTGCGCTTACTTCAAAAGGCGCCTTTGTGAGTTAATTGCAGTTTCCACACATATATCCCTAAATCGCTCTTCAAACTGGAAGAACAGGTCCTGGTGACTTGAACATTTCATCGGTAGTGTCAAATACTCTAGCAAATTTGACTACTTTGAGAAGTCTTAGGATGCATGGCTGTGACATATTTGGAGTATTTCGAACATGAGTATTTTATTAACATAGATTGAAACAACGGTCTCGTGGGACACTTACCGGATTTTGGCTCAAGTAGTCCACCTGAGGAACTGCAAGTACCTGCTATGCATTTTTTCGAGGAGTTACCACCGTCAATTAGAAACCTTCTGTCTCCGAGTTCTCTTGATATGGTAGCTTGTGAATATTTCGGAATGATCCCATCATCATTCGGTCACCTTACCAAGCTTGAATACCTAGATCTGACAGTGAAATCGTCGATTGCTCCGACTATATGTTCTCTGTTTTGGGTTTGGAATTGACAAAGCTCACCAGTTCAAAAATCGAAAGAATCATACTAATAGGCGACATTCCTCTTTCAATTGGAAACCTACCTTAGCTTGTTAACTTAAGGTTTTCGGCAATATTATAAATGTTACCATACCACCTCAGCTCATGAACCTCATGCTTCTGGCTAAATGAGACCTAGACATGAATCAACTATCAGATCTTTCACCACCTTGTCTCATAACATGACTCAAGTAACACTGCTTCACCTGGACACCAAGAGATTGGAAGGCTCGATACCCTCATCGATCTCTCAGCTCTAAACTCTCGATGTCCTTAACGTTGCTAGAAACTGCTTTAGCGGTACAACCATGCTAGACAGCTATCTTAAGAGAAAAAAAATTAGAGATATTGCAATTATCATATAAGAGGATAGCCATATACACGAAAATTAGCATGGATGTTACTCTTTCCTGTCTTCCTGATTTAGAACTTGCCACATGCGATTTGGGGGAGTTTCTATATTCCTGCAAAACCAAAGGATATCTATGGGTTTGACCTGTGACAAGAAAATATCACGGGAGAAGTACCTGTCGCGACCCGCACCTCAAGGGCCGACCTAGGGGCACATGTTTAGAGGTAAATGTTCATGAAACGGTCCGAATGGCACATTATAAAAGATAGCTTACCAAAGCATCGATTTTCTGTTAATCATGTACGTGGCTTCTCCCTCTATCCATACCTTGCGTGACACATGATTGATTTGATCTATTTTTAAGAAATAGAGTCGCCACTAGCCTCTGTTGGGGGTCGGCTAGATTACCCTATCGAAACGTGAGAATTTTGCTTCTATTTCTATGAAAACCAGAGATCATGGTTCTGGGTCTAGCTTACGTTAATATTTCCACTAATGCAATTTCGGTAAGGCTAAACTTAATGTGGTTATTATTTAAGTTGGCATACGTTTATTTTTATCATTTTCATGCCAAAGGCCTAATCCACTAAGTGACCATGCATCATGTTTTTGTGTTTTCCGTTTATAATTTTAAACTAATCCTATCTTAGTCTAGAAAAGAAAATAAACAAACAATTGTAATGAAAAGTGGTGTGTAAGTAAACAACCAAGGAAATTTAAATGGCAAGCAAATCTAAGAACATCAAATGAAAACGCGCAGCTCGTCGGGTATTTATCACAATACGAATGGAAAACCCGAGACATGGTCGGGTGTTGAATGAGATTCAAACTGAGATCGGATTGGACATCGGTCTTATGTCGTCGTCTTCACATCTTTTGGCAACTTTCACCATGGATCGCCCCGTGGGTGTCGATTTTACATTCACGTCATATATTTCGTACAAGTAATACACAAACATTCAATAAAATCATATGGAACATCAAATCGAGAACGAGCCTTGGGATCAGCCTTTAAATTTCATGCATTTTGATCACCCAGCCACCTAATCAACAATGATTGATTGATTAGTGGTTAATGATAGTCGGCCACCATTTACATTCACAAAACGATGGTCCATATCAATCAACCCTTAAAGTCGGTTCTAAATGTCCATCGTGGGCTACCCGCCGCATATGTATAGAGCCTAATCATTTGTCTAAGAAACACATGCATAAGCGATGAATTGAACATGTGTTTAGGCCAAACTACCTTATTTCTCAATCAAACAAGCAATGGAAAGTGAGCCTTGGGAGAATCACTTAATTCAACTAAAATTTGTCAAATTCGGACACATTCTGTTTAAATGCGATTAACCCACCAAACGATGTCCAATTGACGTGAATTTGGTGCCATTAGAAATCTTCGGTGGTGAGGATCAAAGTTCAATTTCCTACTCGTTTTTTTCAAAAATTGGGATTTGACTTGGATGCCCTTCACACGACCGGAGTTTGGCCCGGAATTTGAAAAAATACGAAAAAAATAACAAACATTATCCAAATCTTGCCAAACACATGATCCAATCAACACAATGATAAATTAGGGACCAAATGCAGCGATATTTTCCGGGCATGTATAAAAAAAGTTTTAGTTTTGTCAAATAAATTCAATGGAATCCTTCATACATATAATATAGTATTTAAAGGATAAAACGACGTGTTAATGACTCCAGAGACAAAAAAAAGTAAAATAATCTTTAGTAGCTTGGGTTACTTCCCCAAGGAGCTCCACCAAGGTCTAGTATCAGATAATTTGTTAAGGATTAAGCTGAATTTATTTAGAAAATTAAGGCCCTTTAGAAGAGAACTTATTGATGAAATTAATTTTGACAAGTACCCACATATAGTAAGAAATTCTCACAATAGCTAGCAATATATTGTCACCTTTGCAATGGACCTAAAATTTGGTTAGAAATCCATATCATTCCACTAGATGATATATATCATTAAATGAAAAGGATCCCCTTTCTCCTCTACCTTTCTAGTCGTCAACTCATTCAACAACTTGAATGAATTTCTTAGTATATAATGGTGCAACTTTAGTTCATCTCAACACATCACTGCACTAGGTCACGAAGCTGTCAAGGCTCTTTGAGAGAGAGAGAGAGAGAGAGGGGCCAAGTACAGTTTAGGTGGGAATAGCCATGGTGGTAATAGTATCCAAGAGAATGGGCTTGATGATGCTTGTGGCGACACTCATACTGTGCTCGTCCATTGGTGCCGACGCCGACGCGCACATACTTGTGTCGCGCAAGTGGAGATGTGTAATGTTATGTGCCTTGACACCTCCTATAATTCCATGCGTTCTCAAATGCCTCATCTATCCTCCCACACAGTCCTTGACGTCCGCGGCATCGCAACATTGCGATGTCGGTTGTTTCTTGTCTACTTGCCTTGACAATCATCAAGGTAAAAATCTTCCCATCGAGATCGAAGATATAACGTAGCTTCTTGTGAGATTTGTAGAACCGAGGAAGTCATTATATAATCTTATTTTTTTTTATCAATGTCTCATTGACATATTTTAAATATGAGAGCATGGCTGCGTACCAAATCATTTCATTTCCTTCAACTTCCATACATGTGCTCTTGTTAAAAGAAATTCAATTTCTTTTTCAATGTGAGTGATTTTTTAATCTCTTGTTTCATATTCAAACTTATGTAGACTCCGAGAAAGTTGGAATGGACGTGAACAAGGCTGGAGCTTGTGCAGATTCGTGCTCCCGGAGTTGCCAAAAGACCTATCCATTGCACTAAAGTCATTGAACTTTTGTAATGCCTTTGTGGTTTCATTGCTCAACAAATAAAAACAGCCCTTTTAATATTCAACTTGACCATGAGATACAAATACAAAAGAAAAGGTAACCCCTACAATATAACGAAGCTGGCTTTGTCATGCCTCTACCAATTCGTGTCGAAACACACTTGTATGTCTTCACGCAGTTAAAGTTTCACGGTGTGCATAAGATTGTTAGCCTTTGGCACCGACATCACATAAGTGCATCACTTGGCGGTACTACCAACAAGACAAATGAAACGATATGTATGAGCATGTGTTTAAGGCAAAAAAAAATGGGAATTATATATATCATTCACCGAAAGTTAACTTTGTGAAATACGTTTGTGTGGCAATTTAAAATAAGACTAGACATCAAATTCTGTATGGTCACCCATTCAAATACAACCTAAAATTAGGGAAAGAAGTCTCTCTTCATGAAGCTGATGTTCTCCATTCTACCAAACAAAGGATGCACTTTCGTCAACTCTTTGCCCAGTGATAACATCCTGTTGTCTTCTTTGTAACGAGGTAACCATTTAATGACTTAAAAACAACTATAAATCTTTGAGTCTGCACACATGTAAGCTACATATGATTCTTTCCAGCTGCTATAACACCCACCTGAACACAAAATTTACGACAACATGGAGAGAAACGAGCAACCATATGAATATCAAAGCCTCGAAGAGAGAGATCGATGGCGATAATCTTGATGGCAGGGCTAATATATAGTGCATTCCTCGTCGAGGCATCTATGGAATGTAAGAAAAGGTGTGCTCGTACTTGCGCCATTACCCTTTTGCCGTGGATTTGTTATGACCTTTGCATGCGAGGTTGTCATGTGCCTCATGCATCTCGCTAAATGAGACATAGACATGAATCAACTATCAGATCTTTCACCATCTTGTCTCATAACATGACTTAACTAACACTGCTTAACCTGGACACCAAAAGATTGGAAGGCTGGATACCCTCATCGATCTCTCAGCTCTAAACTGTCGAAGTCCTTAACGTTGCTAGAAACCGCTTCAGCGGTACAACCATGCTAGACGGCTGTCATAAGAGAAAAAAATTAGAGATATTGCAATTATCATATAAGAGGATATCCATATACACGAAAATTAGCATGGATGTTACTCTTTCCTATCTTCCTGATTTAGAACTTGCCACATACGATTTGGGGGAGTTTCTATATTCCTGCAAAACCAAAGGATATCTATGGGTTTGACTTGTGACAAGAAAATATCAGGGGAGAAGTACCTATCGCGACCCGCACCTCGAGGGCCGACCTAGAGGCACGGGTTTAGAGGTAATTGTTCATGAAACGGTTCGAATGGCACATCATAAAATACAGCTTACCATAGCGTCGATCTTTTGTTCATCCATAAGGTCCATTAATCATGAACGTGGCTTCTCCCTCAATCCATACCTCGCTTGACACAGGATTGATTTTATCCATTTTTAAGAAATAGAGTCGCCACTAGCCTTTACTGGGGGTTGGCTAGATTACCCAATCGAAACGCAAGAATTTCGTTTCTATTTCTATGAAAACCAGTGATCATGGGTTTAGGGACTAGCTTATGTTAATATTTTCGCTAACGCCCTTTCGATACAGCTAAACTTAATGTGGTTATTATCTAAGTTGGCATACGTTTGTTTTTATCATTTTCATGCCAAAGGCTTAATCCACTAAGTGACCATGCATTTTGTTTTTGTGTTTTCCGTTTATGATTTTAAACTAATCCCATCTTAGTCTAGAAAAGAAAACAAACAAACAATTGTAATGAAAATTGGTGCCTAAAGTAAACACCCAAGGAAATTAAAATGGCAGGCTAATCTAAGAATAGAAAATGAAAACGCGCAACTCGTCGGGTATTTATCGCAATACGAACGGAAAACCCGAGACATGGTCGGGTGTTGAATGAGATACAAAATGAGATCGGATGGGACATCGGTCTTATGTCGTCGTCTTCACATCTTTTGGCAACTTTCACCATGGATCACCTCGTGGGTATTCGATTTTACATTCACATCATACATTTCGTACAAGTAATAGGCAAACATTCAAGCAAATCATCTGGAACATCAATTCGAGAACGAGCCTTGGGATCGGTCTTTGAATTTCATGCATTTCGATCACCTAACCACCTAATCAACTATGATTGATTGATTAATGGTTAATGATAGTCGGCCACCATTTACATTCACAAAACGGTGGTCGATATCAATTAACCCCTAAAGTCGGTTCTAAATGTCCACCGTGGGCTACTCGTTGCATATGTATATCGCCTAATCGTTCATCTAACAATCACATGCTGAAGCCATGAATTGAACACGTGTTTAGGCCAAATGACCTTATTTCTCAATCAAACAAGCAATGGAAAGTGAGCCTTGGGAGGATCACTTAATTCAACTAAAATTTGTCAAATTCAGACACATTCTGTTTAAATACGATTAACCCACCAAACGATGTCCAAATGACGTGAATTAGGTGCCATTAGAAATCTTAGGTGGTGAGGAGCAAAGCTCATGCAGACCACTTTGCCAATTTCCTACTCAATTTTTTCGAAACTTGGGATTTGACCTGGATACCCTTGACCAGATCTGATTTTGGCCCGGAAGTTGAAAAAATGTGAAAAAAATAACAAACATTATCCAAATCCAGCCAAATTTTGCAGGTAGTTAGGAAAACATGTGACGAACAACTTTCATGTTTTTAGTTTTGGCCGAAACCCCCTGATCTTTCTTAAAATAATTGATTTTCACCCGGGACTCTGTTGCAAACAGTTTTCCAAAAACAGATTGACCTTATCGGAGTTTTTTTTTGTGAAATTGACTCCCCCAAATGTTGCAATCAGGTCCTCAAACTTTGAGCTCTTCAAATAAAGACCCCAATGAGCAAGTTTTGAAATTTTGCAAAAGAGGTCATCAAGTTTGACAAAATTGCGAAAACACGTGGGGATACTTATAGGCTTAAATTTCCGGATCTGAACACATGACCCAATCAACACAATGATCAAATTAGGGATAACGTTATTTTCTGGGCATGTATAAAAAAAGTTCTAGTTTTTTCAAATAAATTCAATGGAATCCTTCAGACATATAATATAGTATTTAAAGGATAAAACAATGTGTTAATGACTCCAAAGACAAAAAAAAGTAAAAAAATCTTTAGTAGCTTCGGGTACTGCCTTAAGGAGCTCCGCTAAGGACTAGTATTAGATAATTTGTTAAGGATTAAGCTGAATTTATTTAGAAAATGAAGGCCCTTTAAAAAGGAACTTATTGATGAAATTAAATTTGAGAAGTACCCACGTATAATAAGAAATTCTCGCAATAGCTGGCAACATATTATCACCTTTGCAATGGACTTAAAATTTGGTTAGAAATCCATATCATTCCACTAGATGATATATATCATTAAATGAAAAGGATCCCTTTCTCTTCTACCTTTCTAGTCATCAACTCATTCAACAACTTGAATGAATTTCTGAGTATATAATGGTGCTACTCTTAGTTCATCTCAACACATCACTGCACTAGGTCACGAAGCTGTCAAGGTTCTTTGAGAGAGAGAGAGAGAGAGAGAGAGAGAGAGAGAGAGAGAGAGAGAGAGAGAGAGAGAGAGAGAGAGAGACCAAGTACAGTTTTGGGGGGAATAGCCATGGTGGTAATAGCATCCAAGAGAATGGGCTTGATGATGCTTGTGGCGACACTCATACTGTGCTCGTCCATTGGTGCCGACGCCGACGCGCACATACTTGTGTCGCGCAAGTGGAGATGTGTAATGTTATGTGCCTTGACACCTCCTATAATTCCATGCGTTCTCAAATGCCTCATCTATCCTCCCACACAGTCCTTGACGTCCGCGGCATCGCAACATTGCGATGTCGGTTGTTTCTTGTCTACTTGCCTGGACAATCATCAAGGTAAAAATCTTCCCATAGAGATCGAAGATATAACGTAGCTTCTTGTGAGATTTGTAGAACCGAGGAAGTCATTATATAACCTTATTTTCTTTATCAATGTCTCATTGACATATTTTAAATATGAGAGCATGGCTGCGTACCAAATCATTTCATTTCCTTCGACTTCCATACATGTGCTCTTGTTAAAAGAAATTCAATTTCTTTTTTAATGTGAGTGATTTTTTAATCTCTTGTTTCATATTTGAACTTATGTAGACTCCGAGAAAGTTGGACTGGACGTGGACAAGGTTAGAGCTTGTGCAGATTCATGCTCTCGGAGTTGCCAGAAGACCTATCCATTGCACTGAAGTCATTGAACTTTTGTAATGCCTTTTTAGTTTCATTGCTCAACAAATAAAAAGTGCATTTTTAATATTTAACTTGACCATGAGATATAAATACAAAAGGAAAGGTAACTCCTACATGATAATGAAGTTGGCTTTGTCCTACTGATTTGTGTCGGAACACGATTGTAAGTCTTCACGCTATTAAAGTTTCACGGTGTGCATAAGATTGTTAGCCTTTGGCATCGACATCACATAAGTGCATCACTTGGTGGTACTACCAACAAGACAAATGAAATGATATGTATGAGAACGTGTTAAGGCAAAAAAAAATGGGAATTATATATATCATTCACCGAAAGTTAACTTTGTGAAATAAGTTTGGGTGGCAATTTAAAATAAGACTAGACATCAAATTCTATATGGTCACCCATTCAAATACAACCTAAAATTAGGGAAAAAGGTCTCTCCTCATGAAGCTGATGTTCTCCATTCTACCAAACAAAGGATGCACTTTCGTCAACTCTTTACCGAGTGATAACATCCTGTTGTCTTCTTTGTGACTAGGTAACCATTTAATGACTTAAAAACAACTATAAATCTTTGACTCTGTACGCAGGTAAGCTACATGTGATTCTTTCCAACTGCTATAACACACCCCTAAACACAAAATTTACGAGACAACATGGAGAGAAACGAGCAACCACATGAATATCAAAGCCTCGAAGAGAGAGATGGCGATAATCTAGCTGGCAGGGCTAATATATATTGCATTCCTCGTCGAGGCATCTATGGAATGTAAGAAAAGGTGTGCTCATGCTTGCGTGATTACCATTTTGCCATGGATTTGTTACGACCTTTGCGTGCGAGGTCGTCATGATGGCAAATAATCTGTCTTGACTGTGCTTGAGCAATGCAATCTTGGTTGTGTGTGTTTGAGTGCTTTGATCACCATTTTGGTATAATTTCTACCCTATCATTACATCTAAATCTTCGCCCAAAGTTAACACAAGTAACATTTAATTTCCAATTTGTGACACTCTGAATTTAATTCACCCGAGGTGTTGTCCGCTTTGGCCTATCTAATACGGAGCCTCATCGTTTTTCATTTCGGCTTACAGGAAGGCACTTTCCCAACCCTGCTTGGTGGTGCTCCCCCTTGATCACACTTGACTTTGGAGTGTCAAAGCAGAGCAGTGTGCTTACTTCAAAAGGCTTCTTCATGAGTTAATTGCATTTTTCACACATATATCCCAAAAATGCTCTACAAACTGGAAGAACTGGTCCTGGTGACTTGAACATTTCGTCGGTTGTGTCAAATATTCTAGCAAATTTGACTAATTTGAGAAGTCTCGGGATGCATGGCCGTGACATATTTGGTGTATTTCTAACTGGAGTATTTTTTTAACCTAGACTAGAACATCCCAATATAGGAAACAACAGTCTCATGGGACACTTACCGGATTTTAGCTCAGTAGTCCACCTGAGGAACTACAACTACCTATTATGCGTTTTTTCGAGGAGTTACCACAATCAATTATAAACCTTCTGTCTTCGAGTTATCTTGATATGGTAGCTTGTGAATATTTAGGAATGATCCCATCATCATTCGGTCACCTTACCAAGCTTGAATACCTAGATCTGACAATAAAATCTTGATTGCTCATGTCACGTCCAGAACCCCATCGAGCACGTAATATCCCTCTGAGGTCATCAAGTATGCGACATTCCAGGACTTGTCACCGACCCAATCCAAACACTAGCGATTAAACGCATGCGGAAGCGAATATGAACACTCCATATAACATTCTAATCGATGGGGTAGTAAGGAAAACATTTCCCATAAAAACCAGCAAGTCATTATATGCTCACACAGATAATCCCAGGAGGTTTACACGATTACAAGCCTCACACGAAGCCACTTCCTAATGAGGCCACTGATACAAAAGGGAGGTTAACTTAAACTCCTCTACAACAGGGCATCCAAAAGGATGATACATCCAATGCCCAACATCACCCCAGAACTCCGAACCGCATGTGATGACTACTCATCATTCCAAGCCTGAAAAAATGTTTAACAACGGGAGATGAGATGAATTTCAATAAGTAACTACCTAAGTCTCGCTTAGGCTAACGCGTACCTCCGAACAATCCCAATCATGCAATACCGACATCCAACATGTCATAACAATCACAGGCGCCCTTACCTCGCCTCGGCACATACGCAAGCCCTGCACGTTAGAATCCCGCCATAACATGGCCAATTGCTCATCAAGCTTGTACAACGCAATTCAAGGCATAATCATGCATAACACGATTAATAATCTAGACGCGCTCATCAATTAACTCAGGCAAAGCATTCCCCAATGCAAATCACACTCATTAAGTCCAGATTATTAACGACCCCTCGAGCCACCGAACTCTCGCCGGTCTTTTGGCGTAACCAGGCATTGTCCCGCTACGTCGGCGACGGCAACATTGGGGATCGAACACCCCCAGGTAAGCCAGGTACCCAACGGCATTCCACTTAGGAGCATCGATCTGGCCTCCACCGCGATCGGCATCGTCTGGGATTGAACACCCTCCGGCAACCCCAGGTACCAGACAGCATCCGAATTCCCGCCGGGCATCGTCTAGAACTCCCGCCTAGACGGAACGTGTCGTGATCATGCACACACCTCAGCAATCATTACCAATTCTTATCTTTGTAAATTAGCCCAATGTCAACTAAGTCAGTCAAAACGCCATGATAACACCGAATAATTCTCGAGAGAGAGAAAAACCAAGAATGTACAAAACCGGATCCAAATTAGGCAGTTGCACAGTGACCGAAATCCGTTTGAAATAAATAGTAAATAAACTCCAAAAATTCTGAAATTTGGATATGTTGTACAAAACATCTTGATAAACATTTTCATGAAGGACACAAAATCTAATTCTTATTGTAAATGCCTCGTTTTGTAACTCAAAGCCGCAAAGAACCCGGTTCGCTCGGATAGCCCCTTAGACCATAAAAATATAACTCATTCAGTACCCAGATCACTTTGGAAAACTCTGAAATTTTTATATGTCATATACACAGATGTTATTAAAAATTTTTGTGAAGGAAGTTTGTTGAAAAGAGGTCTGGAAAAATTTATAGAAAATCGGAAAGACTAGAAGGTCGGATGAACAGTAAATCCGGCAGACTAAACACGGTCCGAAAATGGACTCCGAATGACCTCAAATGATCTCCAAAAATTCCAGATTTAATATATGTTATACTTCAAGATGTTATGAGAAACTTTCATGAAGAACACTTCCTCAAATTCGGCCTACACAAGTCTCTACAAAAAACAAAACAAAACACAGAGGCAGTGCAGTAGCGAATTCGAAAATCAACCAATTAAGAATCATTAAGCACGCCAAGTTCAATCAACCCCTAAACCAACTATCCACAGCCTTTAATCCACCCCTAAACATGTTCATTATTAACCCATTATCCTAACCAAGGCTTAGGGAGTACTTACTAGGAGCCTAAGCAAGAAAAACCGAGCGAAAGGAGCAGCTCAATCACGGCAAAGCAGCAGCAGCGACGCCGGAGTAGCAGCAACCTCAGCAGACAGGTGGCGGCTCACGGCGGAGTCGGGTGGAGATGGGGGCTGAACGGTGGTGCTGGTCGGGCTGGAATGGAGGGCGAGAAGCAACAGAAATCAGAGGAAGCAGAATGAAGACGCAAGTAGCAGCGAAGCAGCAGCAGAAAATGAAGTAGAAGCAGCAGGCATGGGGTGGTCAGCAAAGCAGGAGTCAGCAGCAAAGAAACAATGTAGGGGGAAGTTAGCAGCAGCATAATAGTGATAGAAACAACGTGGGGCAGCATGGGCAGCTTGAGGAGTCGGTGGATGCAGCGGTAAGAAGCAGAAGCAAGCCAGAAATGGCATGGGCGGAGCAGAAGCAACATGGCGAGAGAAGCGGGGGAAGTCCATCATGGCGTGCATGGGGAGGTCGACAACGTGGGGCGGTAGCAAAGTCAGCGGAAGAAGTCGGCGGCGAAGTAATCATGCGAGAGGAAGAAGCAGCAAAGCAGAGGCAGAACAGAAGCAGCAGTAACACGTGGGGGAGCAGAGGAAAGTCAGCCAGGTCAGTCAAAACAAGGCAAAAGCAATCAGCAGAAAATGAAACAGAAATGGCAGCAAGGACGTGGGGGAGGTTAGCGGAAAGAAGTCCGCACGTGGGGCAGTGGCATGGGGGGTTCAGCGGGGGAGAAGGAGAGGAGAGAGAGAGAGAGGAGAGAGGAGAGGGGGTTCAATCATTAACTCACAAAATATTGTCCAATTTTCCTTTTTCCAAAATTCCGATCAACCCGATAATTGGCCACACTTTAACGAGACGACGTCCGATAAATTAGTCGTGGAAATCTTGAAACTTTGATACTTAATTCGGATTCTAATTAATGACCAAATTCAATGCACCTGACAGTATCTCGAACTAACGGGCGGCTTTTAAAAATTACGCGTATCGACTCGTGGCCGATTCGATATCAAGCCACATCTAAGTTTACTCGAGCTATGGCGACCTCGATTGTCATGTAATTGCGAGGGTCAATCACTAGTTCCGAATGACGCGATCGTTCGGATTAGGTTTAGGATCGTTCGAAATTCATACAATGGCCAAGCGGAATCACCCGCGACCCCATTG